TTATCTGAGTAATTATTTCTGATTTCATTTTTTCCAGATCCTCTTTTGTTGCCAGTTCAGGGAGTCCAGGTGGTTGAGTTTCAGATTGTTCCATTTCCTTTCCCTTTGGGGTTGCTGTAGGTGATCTGGAAGTCTGTTTTTGAGGCTTGTTTATGTGTCTTCTCAGTTCCATGAGGCAGTGGGGAGGATGCCGCTGGTGCCCATGCGGCTCACCTCCTCTGTCCTGGGAGCAGTGGAATCGCGTCCACCTTTCTTAAAAGGCAGCACAAATCCATCTCCATTTAAATCTCTGTGTGCTTTATGAACACTTCTGGGACTCACATCTGAGAACAAACTCTCTGAAGGAAGGCTCTTGTCTTGTTACTTCCCTCATTGCTAAGACAAAATACCCAATACTCACAAATTAGAGGAGGAGAGGTTTATTTTGGCTCACAGTTTGTAGGGGTTTCTGTCCATAGTCTAGAACAGCACTGTACAGGGCCATGATAGCAAAAAGCCATGCATGGCATGGTGGACAGGAAGCAGAGAGAACCACGCGAGGATACAGGAAGGGAGCTATTACCTTCCGGGTCAAGCCCACAGTGGCCTGCCTCTTCTGCAAGTCAGCTATTGCACTGCTATAATCCAGTCACATCTGAAGGTTCCCATCTGTGATTTCCTGAGGCTTTAGGGGGGCTCTAGATATAAACTATAACGACTTTCATCTTTCCTCTGACTTCTGGCTACATCCAAGCTGTAGCTGATCCACTCAAGCAAGTACCTTCACCAGATCTCTGTAGATTCTCATACCTTGCTCACATTTTTTTCTTTGTGTGTATGTTGGTCTTTATAATTACAATGTAATTGTAATCTGATTTTCTTCTAGAATAGAGGAGTAATCAACAAAAAAGAATCACTAAAAACAGGTAGGACAAATCAACCTCTTAGAATGATTGAAGCCTAATGCAACTCTCCAAAAGCCTCAGGTACCTTTTCATCAAGTTTGATATATATTACTAGTCCTGTATGAAATGGTTCATCAGGCTGGGGGTGGTGATGCATGCTTGTAATACCAGCATTCTGGGAATCTGAGATAGGAAGAACAATAATTCAAGCTCAGCCTGAGCAATTTAGCAACTTAGCAAGATCCTGTTTCAAAAAACAAACAAACAAACAAACAAAAAAAATGAAGTAAAATAAAAGGGCTGCAAATGTAGTTCAGTGTGAAGGCTGTGGAGTCAATCCCTAGTACTGCAAAAGAAAAAAAGAATCATCAGCTCTTTTTGCCCTCTTCTGTGGAAGCCTGCCTCCATCAGCTGGCAATATATTGTGTACTGTGTGTGCAACACTGGGCACGTTGCTTCATCTATTTTTTCAATGGAATCTCACTGCCATTTACCTGGTCATACAGCACAGAGCGAAAGAGTGCTCACTGGCCAGTGATAACTAATCAATGAAACTATAAAAATGACTAGAGGGCTGGAGATTTAGCTCAGTGGTTCCGCCACCTGCCTCGAAAGTGGAAGGTCCCAAGTTCAATCTCCGGTAAGCTCAGTGGTTCCGCCACCTGCCTCGAAAGTGGAA